CTGGCAAGACTTTCTAGGGATGCCGGATAAAAACGTCCTGAATTTACCAAATCCACGGTCTGACGACAGAAATTATCACGTATACTGTGACAAGGAAGTTCGAACACGATACGTTCATCCTAGGCCACCCTGAAAAAACACGACCAAGTCGCGAGAACAAGGTCAAACAACTTCTATTAGGGTGGTAGGGATCATGTGGCTTAGCGTGGTTGACATCACAGCATCTTGACTCGCACATTTATGGTTTGAGGGAAATCTGGGCTGCTGGTAAGATTTAAGAGAGGTGGTAACTTTCATCAATTTCGGATGAAACTAACCTTTTAGGATGCCTGGTACAGTGGAACTGATTGCGAAAATCAAGCCTCCTCTTTAACTCATCATGGGCAAGGGCTGGTGAGTCCGGTACTCCTCGACATCACCCAAGGCCCGGATGCTTACAAGAACACAAAAGAGGCTATCCATTCACTTCACAGGATGAAACCCACCAAAGGTGGAATATTCGTCTCTGGACACACATGGCTTGGCTTTATGCCTAGCTAAGGTCTTTTGACATTTCCTGGATTGTGTAGAAGCTACAACCCAATTCGGCTGAATTGGTACTGATTAGAGGCGACAATATTGGTCAAGAAGACACATTATAACAATTTTCTCATATGACATCGTAACAAGTTTGCTTCAATAATTCTTGAAGCCACAAACAACTCGGCGTGGCAGCAAAATGATCTTATAATTTAGGCATTACAATACCCTAATAAATATTGGCCTTGTATATCCATTTATATTTATAGATTTAAATACACAGTTTGTTAAAAAAACGCACCACCCTTTTTTTGGTATAAATGATAAAAATTAAAAAGAGTCAATATTATATATAAGATAGTTGTTTTTTTTAATTATTTTACATTTCTGCTCCTTTTAAATAAGTTTAATTTGGACTTTTTTGTTAAAAAAACGCACTACTAATCATTTAATATTTTGTTGATTCACTTTTGGCTTTATAAAAAGCAATAGCTCGTTTTTGAAAACTTTCAGGCAATATTATTTTCATAAGCGTGGTTATTTCTGCCCAAGACGTCTTAATTGCATCTTTAAGTTCGTTGATATTTTTGGGCTTTAATATGCCTATTTTAGACTTTATAATCTCCCATAAGTTCTCAATTGGATTCATGTCTGGTGATTGAGCAGGCCAAGGCAATAATTCTACATTTCTTTCTCTCAAAAACTCTGATGCCAGCTTTGATGTGTGTTTTAGGTCGTTGGCTTGCTGGAAAATGAACTGATTCAATCCCATTGATGCAGCAGATTCAAAGAGGTTATTGGAAATGATGCGCACATATTGAATGGCATCCATTTTATCCTCTATAAACACTAACTTTCCAACTCCATAATATGAAAAACATCCCCAAATTATTACACTTCCGCCCCTATATTTGACAGTTTTGTCATTATGTTGAGACAGAAGTCCTGTTCCAGGCTCTCTTCACACAAAGGACTTGCCATCGGAGTAAAACAAGTTGAATTTCGACTCATCACTAAATATGAT